CTGGATTCGAACCACCAACCTTCAGATCAATGGGCGAATGCTCTTCCAACTGAGCTACTTGCTGTTGCTGCTCAGACATAAATCCTTCAAATGCAAGGTTGGTTTTACTTCTAAAATTATTCTATCCACACAGACATTCACATCAATAGTCTGGTGTTATAATTGTTTTGCCTGGGGTGCTTTGTGGAGTGGGTAAGACTGTTTTTAGTGGCAGGCGAACTATGGCCATTGACATGCACTAGTCTAGCACCAACGACCTCTGCAAATACAAGGACTGGATGGAATATTTTAAAAAAGTGTCTCCACACGTCTCCAATACTCTGACTAACTAGGAAATTAGGTTCTATGTCTAAAATTCTGAACTGTCCCTTTAAATTAACAGCTACCTTTTACCTTTAATTCAGCAGAGATTGGCAATTCCAGGGCTGAAATCATCCAAATGATTCTAGTCACGGTGTATGGAGTTTAAAAACAGTAGTAGTAGTAGTCGTTTTATACGGACATTTTGCAGCACTACAAAACAAAACAGACTACAACCCCATGGATCATGACCAAAAGGGTTTAGGCTGTAGGAAAAAGTACTTATAATGTCTAACCCTTTTAAACAATGACAGAATTCCAAGAAAGAAAGGCATTGCATGAACAGCAAGTTTGCATTTACAATTTCATTTGACTTACTATATACACAAGAGACAAAATATACATTAAAACAGACAAAATTTAATGCATAACGGTAATTCATTCATTCCAGAGCTCTATATCTTTCTAAACATAACGCTTTATACGCTTCTTTTAAAGACTTCTACAGTGGAGCACTTCCTGTATTGCCAGGTCACAAGGTGGAACAGAGAGTTTTCTGTTTGAGAGAAGAACTCAGCCTAAATATGCAGGGTTTGTGTGTTAAACATGTGTGAATAAAACAAAACACAACTCCAGGAATGTGTTTAATGAGGAAACTACATTGTAACATAGATCAAATGATGTAATATAGGCTTGTTAATAAGAAGAAATTTGCAATTAAATCAACAACAATAATAGAGTTGTGTTCATTAACTTAATTAGCTATTTGGCCAAAACTGTGGCTTTCTGAATCCACTCTATTAAAATAATCTAACTTTACTAATTTTTAAATAAGGCATCAACAAATGAACAAGAAGGACCTGTTTACAATGTGTTTCCCCTGCTCCATGTGAACACACTGTATGTAATGTCACAGTTCTAGTTAGTTGGCAAAATGACAAAGCGCTTGTACATGACATCAACAAACTTCACCAAATGTCCTGAAATCTGTTCGCTGCATACGAGGACGGCTGGCCACCTGGTATCACCTGTTCCTATCCGCTCATCAATATTAAAATGTATGCAGCGTGGAATTTGGGAACATTTCACATGAGTCTTCGGCGCTGCAGTCTCCACTTCTGCCAACAGACGTAAGACGCAGTTTCTCCATTTAAAATGTAATAGACCAGTGCTTCCTAACCTGGAAAAATGACCGCTATTTTCCAGTACTGGCCACCCGAACATCTTTAATAAGAAGTAACTGTCTGTTAAGAAAAAAATAAGGAAAAGCAATTGGCTGTGTGCACAATGACGCTCGGCTGGTTTCGGTCGCTAGAACAGTAATCATGGCCATTTCTGCCTATTTCCAATATCTCTGTGGGTTTTTGGATGAGTCTGGCTGATATCAAAAAACACTGTACAGTATATTTTAAAGGCAGACTCTGTAACTTTTCTGGTGGATGGTCTGCACCTGCTTGTTTCTATGGAGATGTCATTGCTCTGGCTGGATTTATTCACTTACAGGTGGTTTAACAGCTCAAAAATACCTAGAAAACAGGCATTTTGACTGTGGGATTGACTCTCCACAGATCAGTCTTGTAACTTGGTCTGGTTTGGTCTCCATGAAGATAGACAGGTTTAATGCCATACTGTGTTACATTCCAGACAAGCAATAACATCTCCATGGAGAAAAGCAGTTGACGGACCCTCCACCTGAAATGTTACATAATGCACCTTTAAGTATAGAAACAAAATAAAAACTACATTTCTAAGCACAGAAGTGTCCTCCAGTGAAGAATTTACCTCACGTCTTTCACATGTCAGTGACATCCACCCACAGCTGTCCACTGAGTGATCTGTTAGTGTTTATTGATTCAAGCACGACTTGGCAAAACCCCACAGAGATAGAATTAGGGCGGAAATGACCATGATTACTGATCTAGAGACAGGAACTAGCTGGATACTTATTGCTACCCCATCATTACAATCCAATCTAGACTGGACCTCAGTTTGAAAAATACCTTGGGAAAGTTGGGGCCCTGCCTCTTAGGCTGGAATAGACTATTCATTTGAATTGTGCGCAACTCCCACACCAAATCCAAAAAATCCAAGGCTCAAATTTGATGCTAAAACTAAAAAGGTAAGGAAACAGAGGTAGTGTTGCACTGAGAAGTCAAAACATCTAAGAATGGGCAGAGCTGGCTGCAAACCCTCCAGGTTTACACACACTGGACTTTCCCTGGTGTCAACTCTGCCTGAGGTTACGAAAGCTGTTGAAGATCAGTAAACAAACTTCCTTGCTTGCACTTGCACAAGAAAATGGAATCAATATTTTACAGTAATAATTCCCTCTATTCAAAAATGAGATTCCTCAAAATTTGCTGTTAAAATTTTGGCACCTCAATGGGAACTGTCTTCTGGCCAACTTCACCAGCCAAGTGATCTCCGCCATCTGCTTTGGATGTTGTCAAACCTCGGTGCAGAGTTTGGAGACAGTTGCAGGTTGTTTCATCAGTTTTTAACAAGGGAAAGGTCGGGAGGGGAGAAGGAGGCACCAATTATCGCTAACACATTTCGGATCCTGCTATCAACATGCGTCTAATTTGCCACATAACAAGCAATTAACGGGCCAATGTAATCTTGTTAGGCATTTACTGTGTAATTAATGTACAGCTATGTGATCCCAAAATGGTTCATATTCCAGAGCCTGTGAGAACCAGCCCAGGCACGCAGACAGGCACTGTGGTAACAAAACACTTGGCAGGGAACAGGGGTCAAGAGTGTGTGAATTTGTGGAGTAAACTGTTTGATTGTTGATTATAATGGCAAGCAAGCAGATATGTATGCAAAAGTAGTGGTGCTCAATGTTATAAATTAAATCGTATTAATAGTAATTTTGAATATAAAACATAAATAAACAAAATAAACAAGATATTGTTTAAATTTTTAAGGCCCAACAAATTGTTGGTCAAAAGTTGACTATGTTCCCCTCTAAATAGGACTGAATTTGGACTGAATATTAAATCCATTTAAAGGTACACTGTGTAATATTTCTGGTGGATAGTTCACTACATTTTGCTCCCATTGCTTTGCCTGGAATTTCTCAAAGCAAGGAAAAAACACATTTTGTATTTTTTCAGTTGCATTCTTATTGTGAGCCTCTATACCAGGGGTGTCAAACTCAAATTCACAGAGGCCAAAATTAAAAACTGGGACTAAGTCATGGGAAAAACTATTTATTGAAAACTTTCAGCAACATCTGCATCTTTTTCTTCTTTTGAGATATGTAATGTTCTTTACTTATTAAAATAAATGTTTAAAAATAGTTTTGTTTAAACACTGAATCCAGAACAAGCATAATATAAAATAACAACACAATTTTATATAAAACATGTCTCTATAGCCTGTCTGTAGCCAGTGGGCCAGCTCTATATTTGATATGATCTCATGGGCCAAATATAATTATATAGCAGGCCAAATTTGAGTCTGAGTTTGGCATGTCTGCTCTATACAGATCTAACCTGTAACTTGGTCCGGTTTCACCACCTGCTCGTCCCCATGGAGATAGATAAGTTTAAACCCACTATAGAATATGCAAGGCAAGGCAGTAACATATCCTAACAAGCAAGTGCCATACTTTGCATACTGCACCCTTAAATAATTGGCCAACCATTTTGTGTGCACATTTGCGACACTAATTAAACTAAATGATTAAAAAATAAACGTTTGCATCAATTTGACAGTTCAAATTTTGGTAGAGTAAACATCTTGGACACTCCTGCTCACCCATTGCGCCAGACAGTATAGAGAGACAGATGAGCTCATTCTCCAACAGGCTCCTACAGCTCTGTGCAAACAGTAAAATATACAGGACTACATTCATACCATACTCCATACAACTGTACAACAACTCACCCTTACATAACAAATAACCCTATGTCAATCACTATTTAAGCTTTGCACTCTTTCTCCTTTTGACCTCTTGTATATATAGTTGAGTTATTTTTACTATAGTTCTATATTTAGACTGTTTTTGCACATGTTCAAAACTTATGCCTTATTTGACACCAGTCTCTTCCTATTTTTGCTCTTTCTTTGGAATTTGTTATTACCATTTATATTTTTGCTCTTTGTTATTATTAGGGTTGGGACGAGACATAGTCTTCACAGGACAAGACAAGAGATTGGGTCCACGGGAACGAGACAAGACAAGTTTTTTACAGAATTTGTAATATGTAAATAGTGTGATTTAGTTCCCAAAGTTGGTTTCATAATTTATATTTACTTCATTTAATAGTTTTGATGTCATTCTAGCTGTGCTTTTAGAAACTATGGATTCTCAAAAGATGCAAGTCACCGGCACTCAACCCTTTTTTGAGAAACCCAAATGGGGGGGGATGTGTAGATCTTGTGGCATCTTGTAGTTATTATATTTACTGTGATGTGTGATGCTACTGTTCTGTTTAGCTGTGCATATGACTGAAAGATTTTTTATTCCGTACTCTTGATGTTAATTTTATGATGATTACTTATGTTTTGATTTGTTTGTATTGTGATTTTAATGTCTTTCTTATTCTGTAAAGCACTTTCAATTATTTTGTGTATAAATTGTGCTATGCAAATAAAATTGCCTTGCCTTGCCTTTCCTGCTGCGTCCAAATAATTTCTGTTGTAGATCAGTAAAGTTTGTCTAAGTCTAACATTTGATGATGAAGACTTGCCTGGTGGATGAAAACCTGGGCTCCTCTTGGACTCATCAGCAGCACGGCTCTCCTCAGCGTGTCTCTGTAGCGGTTCAGCTCCTCAGTTCTCATCATGTTGAACAGATCATTGAAGACACGGCTCACGTTTCGATCCACCCTCTGTAAAGACACGTCCAGGCCGAGACGAGACGCAGAGTCCATGAAGTTCTGCAGTCCACGGATGTCTGATAAAGATAGAGTTAAAAGTTATATTATGCAAAATTGACTCTTGTGAGCTTTGAGCCATGTTAGAAGATTGTTACCTCATCATACAAAACACAACTCCAGATATGTTTGTGATGAGAAAACAACATTATAACATAGATCAGAAAATTGCATTATATGGAAAAATAATTAGTACAAGTCGGGGATGCAGAGTGGTAACTGTCGACCTGGAGTTGAAGAGAAGGTTTCAGAGGTAGTCGTCTGGACACTGTTTTTGTAATGTTTTGGCTTAAATCCAGAAGCCATTTTGAATTTGATGGTACTGGGTTGCGGAGCTGGGATTTATACCTGCAGTTGTTAAAACTTTTTGACAAGGTTGAGTAGTCCACCAAATTTATAATGTAACCAGGGCTGAGCAATTGAGCAGATTTAGAGCTGGGGTTAAATTCTTGTTGAACTAGGATAAGTAAATTTAAGTTTAAGATGAAATTGATTTAAAAAATGTACATCCATGACCCTTAATATTAAAAGCCGTATTTATGTCTTCTTTATAAGGAAATAAAAATTGAAAAATCTAAAATTGTGATTGAAGTCAAATTTAAACAGCTTTCATTTTTAATACTATCAGAATACTTGAGCCTTAATGGAAATTGCTCAGTTGCTTAAACAAAAAGTGTAATTTGTTAAATTTTAACTCTTCACTGAGTTAAAATTTGACAAATTACATCTTTTTACTTTTTATTACTACAAGCCACTCATTTTTGGAGATTGAACTGTGCCCTTGAAAAGATTTAATAATAGTGACAATGGCTGTGATTCATTATACACTTTACAAGCCTTTCAAACCAATTTACAGCAGTCCAGTACTACAGCAGGCATATTCCATACTCTTGGTAAGACGCTTCTGCAGGGCCGGATTTGGGGATACAGGAACCAGGTGGTCACTTAGGGAGCCATCTGGTGGAGAGGGCAGTAATAAAAAAGTAAATGTAAAAAAAAAAAAAAAAAAAAAAAAAATTCAAGCTCACAGACAGCCCTGTGCTCAGTGTGCTGCAGAGCAGGGGCGGAGCCAGGGAGGGAGCAGAGGGCTGGGGCTCCACATAGAACCACTGACATAGAAGAGTGTTAAGTGATATGCAACAAGTATAAAACTGTGCCAGAAGTGTTTCTATATAATGAAACACGTCTGGCACAGTACATTACAATCATAATGAACAGATAGAAAGTAACAACAAAAAAATTAGCTGATTTAATTTATCTCAGATTACAGTAAATTACTTCAGTTTTATTCCAAAAAAGATCCTAAGGGGACCCCCTGATTTTAAAATTACCTGCAACAAAAGCAATACAGAATTTGATTGAGGACCCCTTATTCGTGAACTTATGTTTGATCAGATTTTCACATAAGGCACTAAAAGAGACAGAACCGGCCATGTATTTCTGTAGCCACAGCTGTCCTGGGGCAGACCAAGAAAGAGGTTGATGTGAATGTGCTCAAACTGCCTCAGACCTTTCTCCATCACATTCACAAAAAAACTTCACACAGACAAGGTACGGGAAGTGTTTTGCCTAAGGACATAAAAACAAATCCAGTATAGCACTGCCTCTCTCCAGTACCTAAAAATAAGTAAAAGTATGGATCAAGTTTCTTTCCCTTCCAACAAAACAGATAAGCCCCTCTTCTTTGCTGTGAAGTCTGCAGTGGAGATCGAACCAAGGAACCAAATCCCACGTATTCAGACCACTTAAGGCCGTACGAGTCCACACAGAGGCGTGAATCCGGCAGCGTTTCATCGAAATTCTGGCCACACATTCTTCAGCACTCACACACCTGCACATGGACTTTTATATTCGGGCGGCGTTCCAAAAGCTCCGAGGCAGGTCTGCTTTCTCCTGCTCCTGATCTGAAGCGTGACAAAGCAGCAACAAGCCATTCTGTCGTTCTTTCACAGGATATGAAACTCCAGGCAGGTGTGGTGGGCCGTCCTCTGGGATCCTTAGTTGTATGTGTGTGGGTTAGAGAGCGCCGTACAGGGAAAAAAAATCTAAAAAAAAACAACAACTTTGACGTGCGATTCAAAGGTAATGTGAAGCAAAGGGACCATTATGCACGCAGGAGTCTGGGGAACAGCATCCCAGCACGTGCCAAGTCAAGGGAGAAGAAACGCCGGCATCTGGAATGGAGGAGGTGGATTTTTGGGATGTTTTCCTGCTTTGATTCTGAGTTTTATCTCATTGTAGGCTGACTGCATGACTCATTCATTGTTTGGGTAAGATGCTAAAATTATGAGTGTAAAAGATGATGCATTATTCATTAGTCCATATGTGTATAGGCGTATGTTGTGCTTTGGAAATCTTTGCAGTTTAACACATTTGTAGTGTTTGGGGATTGGGTGGGCGGATCACTCTCTGAGATGTCCCTCTTCTGACCCTGTGCTCATTGTTATTCTTGTGCACTAAGGGAGCAGGTCTCACTATGATCTGCCGGTAAGTTAGATAACTCACTGACCGTAGCCTACAGTACAGTAATTCTGTATGACTCAGGCAGACATTATTGTTTGCCTGGAATGTTTCACAGTATGACATTACTCACCTATATTTCAGTTATTCAATTACATATATTAGTGAAAAAACAAACAAAATGTCCCCAAAATTCTGTTATTTAAATTTACTACAAACTTATAATAGAGCTGCGTAGTCATGTTTTGTGCAGTTATCCTTTCACAGTCATATCTGCCTCTGCTTGAGATTTATGACCAATAGCTAATATGTTAAAAAGAGCAAATATCGGCCTGATATATCAACCAACCGATATACTGGTCTATCTCTATCACCACTCTACAACTTTAGGCAAAGCATTGCAAGCAAAATATATCTTGTTATTTTCGCATTATACTAATAATAATAGAATCACCTTGTCCTTTTTGCGGATGATTTGGTTGTCAAAATGATAAAGCTTAAGCTATTATTTTGACTTTTTGAGGTCATATTCAAATAAGGAAGCTGAATTTGAATAGCATGTCACTGTAACCTTAGTGAAACAGCCTGCAATTAATAGTTTGTTATTCATGGGTGCTGGTAGACAACTATCACAAAGTGAAAGTGCAGTGATACTCACAGATTCATACGTTTTAATTTCAGTGGTGAACATATGGTATTCTCTTACAGTAAAAGGATCACAAGTGGGTAGCCAAACCCCCAAGACTAGACAAGCTCATTCTCTGCAGGTCTCAGAAGCTAAGCAGGGCTGGGCCCAGAGACTGTATATATAAATGGACATAGGTAACGTGCTAGTCACCACGTTCCAAATAGGACGTTTGCTCTTCTGCCTCGTCCTGACCGTGGCTCCCTATGACCTACATTGGAATATTGTAGCCCCACTCTCTGTAACGGCTACAATGAGTCTTTTTGGTCTGAAAATGTTCAGATCCGCTCTACATGATGCTTGTGTTGTTGTTTTCATAATATAGAGCCTGGCTCCAAATTCACTCCTGTAACTGTAGCAACATCATGAGCTTCATTTGAGTGGCGCTGAACTCTATGCGTACTGTCACACTCTCTTAGTTCAGTCTACGGTTGGGCCTGGTTAATGTTGGGATGGGAGACTGCTGGGAATTAATCTTTATTGAATTTAATGCAAACTGCTGTTGGGTCCTTCGGGCAAGACACTCCATCCACATTGCCAAGCATGAAAGTGCATGTGTGAATGAATAATCGGTAGTGGTCAGGGGGCCGATGGGGTAGATTGGCAGCCCTGCTTCCAGGGCAGCTGTGGCTATATTAGACCAGTGCAATGTATTGTATTATTCTCCATTCTTATTACTATAGCATAATACCGAATAAAGTATCGATGCAAACGTTAGCTTAGCTGTTGCGTCTCCAGATTTTTTAAATAGAAAAACTGAGAGGAAGAAAGTTGTCAGTTTAAATTTTACCACGACATAACTTGTTTTCGTACAGCAATTTCTATAAATGTTTGGATTTCCAGCCAAAACTTTTGTTCGATGACTATCAATAACTTGGAGCGTTGAATAAATCTCAGTGGTGTGTTTAGCTAGCTTTGCATAAAACTTGCAGGGCTGGCGGTGGGGTTTGTTTTGGTAAAATATGGCAGCAGGCAGTGAGCAGTTTGTGTTTATAGGACTGCAGAGGAGGCGGCGCACTGGGCTGTGCTTAGCACTTCTCCCTCATGGCGAGACAGATTCATGGAGCTGGTACACAGGCTGTGTGCAGTTAGCATCTTTAAATCCATGGCTAACTCCCACAGGTATACGACATGCATCACAGAAATCAAAATGTTTTCTGTTAACTTTTCTCATAGCCATTCAAAGTCCATTTCAGTAGAAATAAAAGGACTGATTAGGTTATTTGCTGTCATCTGTATCCAGGGTCACTATAAACATAATTATCCTTTATCACTGTCCTTCTATTGTTTCCGTCTATACAGTGGAAGAGACCAGGCTGTTTCAAACTAACAGTGTTCTTCACACTTTTGTTCAGACATTACACTGCAGAGGTACAGACACTCACAGAAGTGCAGTGGAATTTGGCTGAGTGCTTCTTATTTAAAGTGATATGCACAGGCAACTGCACTCAGACTCCGAGGCTTTGGGGCAAAAAGTGGAAATTAGGCTAATAAGAAAAAAGCCTTGACCTGGTCTGATCACTGAAGCAACATATTGGTTTCTTCTGTCTGCGTCTGCAGGCAAATCGAGGAGCCGCCCGACTCAGGACAATATCAAGAAAATCATCAAAATGGGATGCAATGTTCGATTTTCCCCTCTGCTGTTGAATGGCAATTTATTTTGGGGAAGCATAAGTACTTATTGTTGCCACTGGATTCCTTTTGGAATAAAAATGTTCAAAGGGCAGAACAAAACATAAAATTAAATCATTCATCATCTTGAAGTGACGCACACTCAGAGCAGTGCAATGAAAACTCTGTTCCCTCCTGATCCCAGTGTAGTGAGCAGGTCTGTGTGCAGGGCCACAGCTCAGCTCTGAACTCAAGAAACCAGGC